AACACTTTTTTTTCTTTGTGTTGTACTTGGAACAGGTGATAACTGCGTGTGAAAAACGAAAACTGGTCGTGACAACCTTGCTTTTGCTCCTGCAACACTGACTCAGACACACAAAAACAAAGATCGTACAAAACCATCAGACTGACCGAGAAACTGTTACGTTTTATTCCACTCGTTTATTTAAAAAGGCGAAGAAATGAATGGAGTAAAGGTCACCGTGCAGACGGCGGTGCTCGCAGATTCTAATCCAAAGCCTTCAGCGATCTCTTCATGAACTCGATTTCTGGTCTGCAAACAAATTAGACCCCCCCACCCCTACCCCATCTATCCAGTTTTGCTCTCCCCCCAGTGAAAGTAGGAGAGGAAATTCAGGTGAATAAAATCTATTTGCTCATTTAACTTTTTTTCCCCCGTCAGCTGTTTTCTCTCTCTCCCCCCACCCCCCTGTCCTCCAAAACTCAATTTTCCTTCAGTGCACACTTGCTATAGTGTTTCTGTGCAACACTCTGGCAATTCATTAGGCAACCGTGTTTTTTTTTTTTTTTTCTCCATTTGTATCATTAGAAAACCACGTTTCCTCCAGACGGGGGCACTCGGCTAAATCCGATCCAGAGAAATCCCTGTTTTCTTCCTTACAGCCCACCTAACACTTACCGAGGGTTTTGGAGAAACAGTAAAGCCAACCAACCAAACTAAACGGTTTAATTTCTTGACAACTCTTTCAGTGCTATTACACCTATAGAAAGCAGATTTCATCTTGGTTCCAGTTTCTGTTATACAACAAGTGTCTGACTAGCCAAGTGAAATCTGCATGAATATTTATACCAAATCATTTGTTGAGTGTTGATTGTAATTACAAGGAAACATGATTCATTGCCAAGGCTGTGTTAGCTAGCCAAAGGAACAGAACTGGGCAGAGATATTTTAATAAATGCAAAATTTGCACACAAAGAGCAGAATGGAGCCTGTCCTTCCATTGGCTTTAAAAATAATTCATTATCAGAAGGGAAATTTTAGCATTTCAGGCACAAACTCTCGAAAAAAATCACTTTGACTTCTAATGAGGAAGTATTGTTTTTGAACTGCAAGTTTAGAATGAACACTTCGATTTCCAGTTGAAGACAACTCTTCGAGAGACCTCATCTTGAAGAAATAGAACCTAGTTCTGATTTGATTGATGAGCTAACTGCTAGTTTAGGTGGAGCCAAGACATTGGATTTCTTCTTGAAAAAAAACAACCTTTTAAACGAAATTCATAATTCGTTTTCCCTGGCATAAAGCTTTCTTATCAATGTCAACTTTATGCTACACAATTACTGGAGCAGAATTATTCCAAGATCTGTCGAGGCTGTACAGGAAGTGCCATAGATAGCTCCTTCTGATATCACAGGGGGAAAAAAACAGATGGAGTTATTTGTCATTCTGACCATACACCACAATGAGCATGGTTAAAAAAACTAAAAAAATAACTATGGCAATCACTCTGATTAAAGAAATAACTAATAAGTAATAAGAAATAACTCAATTGAAAGGTTTACGTTTTTCTGTAGAGAGCAATAAATTCTTCCTTCTCTGCCACAATATTCTGGGATTATATCACACATTTATTTTGGGATTATTTCCACAAATGTAAATGGTGATGTTTACTTTTCGGTCAGGAACTCTGTTATTGCAAGGTGATGTGACAATAGACAAATTAGTAAATTGGTCGCATGGTGAATTTATTGCCTTACTTTCATGGGCGTCGCACCCGTGGGGGATGTGGGGGATTCAGCACCCACACTTTTCTTATTGAGATCGTTCAACACCCACACTTTTCCAGCCGTTTTGCTCACTTCCACACCAGTCTGGTTTCTCTATGTCGCACTCACTCTGTTTGCCTCATCTCTTTCTTCACCTCCCTCTCCTGTTTCTCCTGCAACCCGACATCGGCTGTCAGGTTGCAAGGAGGAACGGGAGAGGGAGGGAGGTAAGAGCTTGACTGAATTCATAATTTTACATCTTGACATTAGCTGTACAAACTCTCAGTTTGATAAAGTGAAGAACAACAATTTGCTGGTGCCTATCTTCAGTGGTCAACGGGCAATCAGGCGGGGTACACCCTGGACAGAGCCAGTCCATCGCAGGGCAACACAGAGACACACAGGACAAACAATCACACACACACACGCGCACACACACACACACCTAAGGACAATTTGGACAGACCAATCAACCTAACAGTCATGTTTTTGGACTGTGGGAGGAAGCCGGAGTACCCGGAGAGAACCCAAGGCAACAGCTCTAACCACTGCCCACAGCAGCATAATATATTTAACTATAACTATTTTTTTAACCCGTTAAGACCGGCGGGAGCGCCGGCGCTACTATTTGCATATCTGTGTTCAAATGCTTGTAGAACTGAAACTATACAAGATAGAACAATTTTTTTTTTTTTTTGCATATTAAACCGGAGGAGTTGCACTTATACCTCACACACTGAACATGTCCCAGAGCGCTGCGTATTTCCGCTAAGGAGTTTGCAAAAAACAACTAAAATGCGCAAATAAGAAAAGTGTTTTCATTCAGACACAGACAGAATTGTAGTTCTTTGTAGTCCCAGTCTTTCGGCTTTTTCTTGTGCTTTTTCGCAATAATACGTTTACACAAACACATCCTACACACATCACACACCCACTACAAACTCCCGACACACTCACACACCACTACGAACGTTTTGATGGCTCACGGACCCGCCAAACAGCACATCTTCCCTCCTCGAAGCAGTTGACGCCATTACAGCGCCGGAGGACGTTTAAGTTTCACTTTCAGTTTCCTCACGTATAAATTCATGCAATATTCTTTATTATTGTTATTATTGTTAGTGAGAGAAAAGGAAAACTATATGCTACTGAAAAATTAGCTACAAATATTCAACATTATTATTTTAGACTCCTGCAGATTATTATCCTCCTCCTCCATCCTTTGTCTGAACCCGCTTGTCCATGCAGGATCCGCGGGGGGCGCTGGTGCCTATCTCCAGCGGTCAATGAGCAATCAGGCGGGGGACACCCTGGACAGAGAGCCAGTCCATCGCAGTGCAGATTATTATTGTTTATGTTTTTGTTAGTTTATATAAAAGAGTGTATCTCAGAAACTGTTTTATGGAAGCACTTCAATGAAATTTGTGGTTGTTTGAAAGAATTGTGTGAAACTTTTTTCCATCGACAATTTCGAGGGATAAAGCTGTGGTATTTCTGTATAATGAAAAATGTGTAAAAGCAAAAAATGACTTTCAGTTTCTGTATAGATAATTGCATTCTTTAGTAACATATTTAGTTGCTATGAATATTTTACATTCATATAATTAAAATTTAGAATGTAAGGGTTGTATTGATGTATGGAAAGTTGAAATCCTCCCAAAAATGGCACCACAGCATGTAAAAATGTAAATATAAGTTGTGGCGAACTTGTTCTATGGCAGGTCTTAAAGGGTTAAGGAAAAACCTAATAAAAAGGTCGCAACTCTGTAATTGATGGTCATGACTTTAAAACAACAAACCAATTTTTTGCGCTTGGATGACAATTGAGTTTGGTGACAACAATATTTTTGGGTCTAGGAACCAATCAAACTAGCGTTAGCTCATTAATCCAACCAGAACTGATATCCTTCAGCGAGCACAGCAGACAACGCAGTAACTGCTCATAACCTGCCCACATTTAAAGATCTAAACGACCTACTTTACGAATCGCGTGGTTTCATGCTTACCACAACGTAATCAAAACCCTTTCAGTAGAAGAAGAAATTGAAGATCTATTCCATAAATCTGTGTCTGGGATGCTGCAACAAGCAAAGAAAAGTTATTTGTCACGTACCAATTAAAACAGTAGTTAGTAATCACCGAGCCTTACCAATTTAACTCGTGCAGGTGAAAGAAGTGGGGAACACATGGAGGGGTTTGAAGGTGGGGTTGAGTAATGAGCCTCTGCCCCGTTTAATACTCTCATGATGAAACAAGGAAACAGGGATGACAAAGAGAGGAGCAGGGATGAAAGCAGAAGAGAAGGAGTGCGAGTCCAGCAGAGTGTGGGAATATTTACAGACACAGAGGGAAGATCTGACAGTGTTTGTGTCTAATTAATGAATAGCAGTATCAATTTGTTATGCCATTTATTCCTATAATGACCAAGCGTGATCTTTCATTCCTCGCCTCTATCACTCATTCTCCCTCTATCATTACCTTTGCACAACAATCTGACAGGGACTGAGTGAGAAACGGAGGGATGAAGGTTGAGAAGGTCCAAAACGAAATGCCCCGTTACCGCCTCAAACGGGACACCGCTCACAAAGGTGTTCAAGCTAATTATTGACGGTGTGAACCCACAGCCCATCAAGCAGAACCTCTTGTGTGCACACATGTGGTCACGTGATGTCGAGTACAGTAGCCGTGCACTCATTCTTGACTTTGCGGCTCTGCTTTCTGGCTTCGTGTCAGACGTTCTGTGGAGCTGGATGCTTGTTCACTTTGTTCTCTGTTTAGTTGGCAAATAAACAAGAGAAAACGGCTGTTGCGCTCTTCCCCTCGAGCTGTATTTATCACACAGGTTTAGCTAGCTTAGATGTAAGCTAGGTTGCCTCAGGTTCAAGCAAACGTGGAGAGAAGTCCCTTTGTACTGTCTCCTTTGTGTTCCTGTAACATTGTCTACCTTTTGAGAGGGTTTAAAATGAGAACAAGGCAGGGTCGTAGTAAAAATGTCTTACAAGAAGGAAGATGGTTGTAGGTTGGGTGGCTAGGTTACCTGTTAGCTCCATTTTTGGTTCCCATAGATTTTATCGTTTACACTTCTACGCCCCCTCTCTCACCCCCTTTTCCCAGACATCCTGACCTGAATCTCACCTCTGAATTTCCAGTGGACCTGAATCCCAAGCTCACGTCTGATAAATGAAAGAAAGCAAAGCTTAAAACATCAAAAAAAAGTCCCTTTTATAGTGACCCCCGGACGTTTGGTTTCTCTTGTAGCCGTTCCGTCGAGTGACCTTCTCAGTGGTGAGCCAGCCCCAGGACCCTCACCAGCAGGGATCGCTGCAGAGCTGCTACGACAGCGGCCTGGATGAGTCGGAGACACCCAGCAGCAAGAGCTCTTCGGGCCCCCGCCTGGGCGCCCTTCCCCTGCCCGAGGACAGCTACGAGAGGACAACGCCGGATGGCAGTGTCGGTGAGGCAGAGCACATGGAAAATGGTAGGGGCAAACACTGAAAGGAGATTAAGATGAAGTTAAGATGTAGGAAGCACACACACACACACGCAGACACACACACACACACTGATCAGGGACTTCCTGTAGGACATTGGATGGTAGACAGCCTCACAAACAGACTCCTTTAGAGATAGAGACGCCTCTGTTTCAGATACGATGTTCTGTGGCCTTTGTGATGTAGCAGTTGTTTTTGTTCACTGATCACGTGAGAATGTGGTTAGGGGGATTTATCCTATCATGTATGGTCGTGTTGAGGAACATCAGGCGTGTTTGATAAGAGGAGCAACACGACGACGTCTATGTACAGGTGTTTTTTTAATTCTTTTTTTTTTCTTTTTTTTTTTTTTTTGAATGAGCACCTATCACATCATCCTTATCCTTTTATCCTTTTGTAAATTGTCCAAAAGTGTGTTTTTGGAGAATTTACATTCCCCATTGAATTTCTTATATCATGTAGCATAGATTTTCTAAAAGATAACTCCATCTTGCACAGCCTTCTTTGAAAAAGCGAATGAGGACACAGCAGGGGGTTAATACTCATTCTCACTTGTTTAGAAGCTATAGACGGTGCTGGCAATGCGTATTTGGCTTGAGGTTCTTTTAGAGGAGTTTAATTTGCTCTGAAAGAGAGGACGGACAAATGCTCTGTAGGTAATTTAAAAAGATTGCAGAGTAAAGAATATAAGGGTTTTTAAAGAGCAGTGTCCTAGTTAAGCACCGCATCTTCTCTAGCACTTTTGCAAAACTGTGGTTTACACAATATACCATATATTTATCCTCATTGTTACATCTGTTTGTGCAATATTACAAAAGACTGCTGACACCGGGTCCACGCTGGGGGCATCAGCGGCACGGAACACCAGTGGGAAGGGTTTTTTTTACGGCACATCAACCCATACTGGGAGTGGCGTGGCATCTCTGCCGTCCATCTCGCAGGAAATGACCTCACCAAATTCCTCATGGCTTCATCCGCCATGAAAGCAAAAAAAAAAAAAAAGAAAAATACAAGTTACATCCATGAAGAACTGCTGCGCTTATGAAATATACTGGTAGTAAATAAGACGTATAGCATTATCCACATAGAAAGGACACTGCATGTCTGCAATAGACTTTTATTTTGAAAATTGCTGGAGGTTTTACACTGATACTGTGTAACTGCAAAAATTGACACATCCCAGAAGCAGCTCATTGCAAAAAACTGAACCCAACTGAATATTTTGCAGCACTGCAAGCCGCTGCCTGAACAGTTCAACGGCTGGTTAGTTTCAACCCCGTAGACTCTAATGGATTCTACTTGTAGCCGCCACTGATGCACGCGTGTGGACCCAGCTTTAGACTGTGACAATACTTAGGGTTTTATAGCCCTATCTTCCTTCTAATATAGTGTGTGTGTGTGTGTGTGTGTGTGTGTGTGTGTGTGTGTGTGTGTGTGTGTGTGTGTGTGTGTGTGTGTGTGTGTGTGTGTGTGTGTGTGAGAGTGTGTGTGTATGTGTGTGTGTGTGTGTGTGTGTGTGTGTGTGTGTGTGTGTGTGTGTGTGTGTGTGTGTGTGTGTGTGTTGATATGTATACAAGGTTTATTCATACTCTTGCAGTCCTAAGTTAATTTTCAGCAAACAACAGCTGTCTTGATAATCCCAAACCAGAGCACAGAGAATCTAAATTTCTTCCGAATCCACAGTCTCTTGTAGGATGGATGCGTTGTTGCTGTCATGTCAGATCTGTTTGTTGAAAATCACAAATCAATGGTAGTTCCAAGATGAAGACCAGGAAAAAAAAAGATAGCTCTACCTTCAGGGAACGTCTTAGCGACTCAGTGTCTGGATATCAGTTTGCAGAAAGAAAGTCGGTCGGACCACAGAGATGGGGGCATTGAGCGGACAGTTATGCAAGGAAGCGTACACCGTGTTGGGCCTTTATTCAGAAAGGACTTAAAAGACTATGATGTGAGCAGATTCACACAACGCTTGGATTTTTACAGCCCAATTCAGACGTTACAATCAAAACACTCATTCCTGTCTCGGTTCTTTTAGGCGACTTCACAAAGAAATCACTTGCATCGCAGTTAGGTTGTAAACATGATCAAACTGTCAATCAAATCAACCCTGAGAATGAAAATAGCATAAATAAGGATATAAATAATCCTAAATAATAGTGTATGATATAATAATAATATAATATATAATAATAGCACGGTCAGAATGCTTGTGGAGCATATGTCCAACATCAGATTGTGGTGTATTAGACCAACTCCAAAGGAGATGCTGTAATAAAATCCCCATCACGTTTGGTTTTAGCTCAATAAGCATACAGTATGTAGTTAATTCCACAGTTTCTGACAGTGCTGGTGAAAAGTACAGAGATTTAGAGATTTGCTGGAGACTAGAGCCAAGGTCAATTCATGAATCAGTCTCCATCTAAAAGAAACAACAAGCTTCACTGCTGCTCACTATCTTTAGTGAGATCAGCTGAACTGCACTCTGTGTGTGTGTGTGTGGGGTGGGGGGTGGGTGGTGTGTGGGGCGGGGTCTGGAGATGGAAAGCCAGCAGTACAAGTGAGATTGGGAATCAGACAGTGTATATGAATATTGGCTTTTTCTGTTTTGGGCTCACTATATTGCTTTTAAATCAAACTCTAAATCTCACCAGTGTGACGGTTTGCACTCTGTGGCTATGAGGCGACTGTATCTGTATGCGGGTTAGACGGCAGGTGGAGGTCTGCCTGTAACCGGTCTAAATCCTGTGATTCAGTCAACAAAAAAAAAGCAAGTCTGTTTTTGCGATATGAACCTCCTCGAGGACCATGAGCGTCCCCTGCTGAATGCCGCGTTTCTGTGAATGAGAACAAATCACCCTAATACCTATGGAGCAATGCAATCATGGAAAATTAGGGCAAATATTGAGAAATTGCTGCAGTCTCATGTACAACTATAGTCATTAGCTTTCCTCCATGTGCTGCTGGAGCCAGGAGTTCACGCAGCGCTACATTTGCTCCGCATGGGGCCCCTTTTTAAAATTAGGGAACTGCAACGAAAACAAAAAAGAACAAAAGTTAGCAGATAGCTTGCCGAGAGGCTCAGAACTACTATGGTGTCTTTAGTGACATGGAAGTGAAGACATTTTGGTCTTTTATGCTCGATCGACTTGCGTTGTGTATCTAGTTTAGATCTCAGCAGTCTAGATGGTTGGGGAATGAATGAAATGTGTTGGTTTGATATGAGTTGTTTAGTTATAGAGAAAACAATTACATATGTTTGTAAAATGTAAAAACAGAGAGGTTCATTCTATTTTGTGTTTTTTTCAACATTGCTCATAGTTGGTTGCTTTAAAGTAACAATAGATACATTTTAAACTTTAAGCTAGAGCTTTGTTGTTAATCTCAGTGATTATTGCAATAGAAATGTGACCAGTTTCCTATTTGACGCCACTCTGCAGACCCAAAACAGTACTAGATAATTTTGTGGAGTGGGTAGGTGCTCTATAAGGAGGCACGCATTATCTGCTTTATGGCTGTTAGCTGTAATGCTAGCGGTTAGCATTTGCAGGTCGCCGATCATCAATCAAAAGCAGAAAAAGAAGAAGTTTGGTATTTCTGTTGGCATCATGGTGGAGCCTGGAAGTAAAAGAAACAAAGTAATGTCTCTGGAAGTGAAGCAAATCACTCAAACCAGAGAGCACATCGACATGGCCTAAAGTAGTTTGAGACAGACTGATGGTGACCTGGCTTTGTTGCTACTGGACTTGTAAGTAATAATATTACTGCCAACAGTGTGGAACTTTTTGCCTTGTGGCTTATTTTAGAGTTAGTTGGCTCATGTTAGTGTTAGCTCGTTAGCTTTCAACCAGTAGGGCGGTGGAGCAGGAAACTGCTCTGTGATACTTCAAGGCAGATGAAACAAAAAAGTGAATGTCCTCTATGGATTACTTTTTCAGCACAGACTTGCTTCAATACTTGACAAACAATATATGGAAATGTTCATGGATGCCCACCTTTCCCTCCCACCCCCTGAGGGACAAGCACACATGAATACAACACATGCAAAACTGGATTCTCGCTCTGCCTCCTGCTTGTCAGCCATTTTTTTTCAGCCATACACAGATGTGCCATGGGCTACTTTTTCCACTTTCAGCCACCTTTAATCAAGGTCATCATTGACATTTCATTATCTGCTTCCAAAAAACTTCTTCCAACCACACCTGTCTGTAAAAAATAAGAAACAGGTTTATCTGAAATCAGATCTTAGAACGGACTTACAACCTTGCACCAGAAAAAAAAAAGAAGTCTTAAATCTTTATGCGTTTTTCTAAATCCATATGTTGCTTGGCTACGCTAAGTTAATTTGAAGACATGATTTTCTTCTCTTTGATGCACAGCTGGTTTCCTCACTTATTCATAAGCTCATCCTGGTGCTCATTAGATATTGATAAAGGCTGAGTGTTTGGAGTCAAACATCCGATTAGGCTGTTGTGGATGTCAAAGAGCCCTTCCAGATGTGCGGCATTATCGGAGGGTCAAACGCTCCTGCTCTGTTATTGATCTTAAATCGCCGGGTGGATGAGGACGGGTGGGGGAGCGGTGGATTTTTCAATTTTTACCAAGTTAGTTCAAGCACACCTCAAAAATAACACACTTCCACAATGCTCTTTCATGATGACAACAATGTCTGAGGCCCGTGTGTGAAGCGTTTCAATGTGAGACGCGTGTTTGAATCGGAGCAGCTCCCGGCACTGAAGATGTAATATAATTTTCGTGGCTCTTGCTGTACGTCACGCTCCCAAGGATCTATTGCATTTGATCCATAGCAAGCATCCTTATATTGTGGACTTTTTTTAGCGGCTCAGAAAATGGAAATGTATTACTGTAACCTTCCACTTTAGCTTCAAATACTTGTCCTCAAACCAGTGTATGCTGGGCTTCAAGTGGCAAGAGCAAACATCAGGACTTTGAATTTCAGGTTGAAGGCTTTCTTGGAAAATCTATTTTT